GCATAGTATAACCTAAGAATGGGCACGTGAATAGCCCAATAATAGCCCTAAGAAACATGTAATGGGTGCTGGATAGACCATGAGGCTATATTGTATCTCGGTGAGTTCTGTACCGTTTTCCACCAAATCAGTGTTGATTACCAGCTATTTGCTGTCGATTTTAGGGCCTGAAGAGACAAGAGGCATCTGCCATCATATTTTTGAGAGATCTGTCATGCTAAGTTTCAGCAGGAGGGTGTACTCTATCTTCATGAGTTCTCCATCATTCTCCTTCGTTAAAGGCTCGTTTACAACATATTCTAGTGTCGTTTGAAGGTCCCAAAGAGACGAGAGGTTCGCGTGTCTGCGTTCCAGAGATATATTGCATTTTCTGTTTGGGGGGGCAAGTACACTAGGTCAGTCAAATTTCCATCGTTTCTTATGATCTAAGGCTCGTTTACAATCTACTATAGTGTCGTTTGAAGGTCCCGAAGAGACGAGAGGTTTGCGTGTCCACACTCTCAAGATATTCCACATTTTCTGGTTTTGGGGGGGTTAAGCTCTATCTCGGTCAATTCTTTACCTTTTTTTATCGTTGAGGGCTCGTTTACAATGTATTTTAGTCACATTTGAAGGTCCTGAAGATATGACATCCATATTTTTATGCTATCTCACATCCTCCCCCATTTTTTGCAAATTTATATTTATATTTAAAACCCTAGGGTTTCTATTATAGTTCTATGCTCGAAATATACATTACATTGTGTATCTATCAGGTAGACAGCATTTAATTTACCCAGATTTATGGTCACATCACTTTAAAAATTATGTGCCAGCTTGAACCAGCTTTGAGTCAGCTAAAAGCCGAGCTGAGCCACTTAAGGAAATTTAGCTGGCTTACATCAGCCGGCTCTCAGCTAGCTGAGCCGCGGCAACACTAGCCTGGTTTGCTGCATGGGATTGGAGGGGAATTTTGGTCCATATTGAACAGCAGCCAATAATCCACGTTCACACTTGGTTCACACATTGTGACCATAGGACAAGATAGGACAACTACCATGCAAGGCTATCTCCAGACACCTACACATTGCTTCCACCTACACATTGCTTCCACCTACACATTGCTTCCACCTACACATTGCTTCCACCTACACATTGCTTCCACCTACACATTGCTTCCACCTACACATTGCTTCCACCTACACATTGCTTCCACCTACACATTGCTTCCTACCACCATGGAAGGTCCTTCGAAAGAGACAGTCCAGCGAAAGCCCAATTTCTATGCCAAGCTGAAGAACACATACAACGAGATCAAAATCATCAAACCGAGTGTCAGTCAAGCACCCTCACAGCCCTCCAGAACCGCAACGCCTGTTCTTTTGGCTCAAGAGGAGCTGCTGAAAATGGGACGTAATGCAGGCGTTGGTAAGCGTCTTTGTTTCCATTGTTGGCAAGGACTGACAAGCGGAAACCAATATCCAGCAGGGACCAACCCAGAGATTACAACTACGCCTATCAATAATCGTGGAGATCCATCGAAGGGAAGTGGTGTAGCTGCGATCCGTAAGTGTTTCCATCCCAAAAGCCTCCAACAATCCATGAACAGGCAAATATACAGTGGATGCACAGTCTAAACCAGACGAGGACAAGAAGACTGGGGTGCGATTATCCGTTCTGAGCTTGAAACATCGACTCACACCCCATGGCATCACACAGACGAATTCTACGCCTGAGTGGCAAGCTTGGAACATCAACAGCGACGCTATTACTCAGCTCCATAAATGGGGAGATGATCGTGAAGGTTCCAAATGGTTAAAGCTTGCGGAAATTATCGATCGATCGTTGAAATCAAAGACTCTTGATATGCTCAAGGCCTTCATACCTGACAGCCCTTTCTCTGCGAAAACCCTTGTTGAAGGGTTGCTCAATCTGGTTGAGCTCGGCATTGTACGCCATTTTGTCAGGCTCATTCTGTCCCTCTGACACATTCACTCAGAGTATCCCGCTTATTCAAAAGAAAGTATATGAATTAGCACAGAAAGTGATTCAGTACATTAGCAGTCTTGTCGGGGTTGTTGGTGAGGAGCTGTTGGTAAAAGAGGACCTCAAGACGATTTGGTGAGTTTCATTGCATTTTCCCTGATATTTACAATGCTTATGCATAGTTAGTGCAGCGGGGAACGAGATTTGCCTGTGGGCGAAGAAACATGTCATAGGTTTATCTTTCTCTTTGCCACCCATTGATGTTAAACTCAGGCAGTCAAAGAAGTCGGTATCCAATGATTTGGGGGACTGGCAGTCAAAGTTCACAAGCGCGAAAGAAAAATTCCTGGTACGACCACATCTGCCTGTGTGTGACAGTTTTCTGAATTGGTTCCTTCCAGGCAACAACTGTCACAAAAATTTGGGTGAAACAGGAGATTGATGCTTGTTTGGTATGTTTGCTTCTGGTTGCTTGTTGTTGATCAAGGATGCCACTTATTGATCCCACCCAGGCCTCCATCAAAGAGACGCTCACCAGCCATCTTGCTGCAAACTACAAGCATACAGATCAGAGCAAGAGTCTTTGTGCCAAAGGCACTTGTTTGGAACTCCTCGAATATATAGAGCAATGGCTACTACCGCAGCCTTCTAACACTGAGCGTATCTTCTGGGTCACGGGTATTCCAGGCAGTGGCAAATCAACGCTTTCTGCTATGCTTGTTGAGAATCTTCGTGAGAATGGCACTCCCATCTCTGCTCAATTCTTTATCTCTTGAAACATCCCTGAAACAATCGATCCAAACAAAATCATCCCCACTATTGCACAGCAGCTTGCTTCTTTTCCGACAGCTGCTCACGTTCTTGAGAAGGCCCTGGAGAATGGGTATCCTGTGGCGTGGGACAAGCAGGTTACTTCTCTTTTGTTAGACCCCATCCAGGAACTCTCTAAGTCGTGCGATCTGGTTGTCATTCTCATTGATGCCCTAGATGAGTTGAAGGATGCGGCCAGGAGCGTCATCAACATCCTTTCCTACATTACTCCTGTTGACTGTGACCTCCCAAACAACATTAGATTCGTCATCACTTCGCGTCCAGAGCACTGGGCAGACATTTCCAAGTCCAAAAGGCTCAAACACACAGTGTTCAAGCAGTATTTCCTGGTGACAGAGTTATCTGTCACTGAAGTTCACAACTTTGTTGTTGCTAGGATGAAGGAAATTACACCGGATGAGCCAGATTGGCATGGTTGGCCGGATCCCTACCAATTGCAGAGGCTATCCAACAAAGCAAATGGTCTATTCCACTATGCTGCAACGGCTCTTCACTGGATTGAACGGCAGATTGTCAATGATGGAATGGCATGTCGAGAAAGGGTGTTCAAGGAATTCAGCAAGGGCGGCCTCAACGAGCTTGAAGATCTGTACAGACTCGTCTTGACATCATGGGAGAATGTGGATATGCCTCCAAAAAACAATGACAGATGTGTTACTCAACTAGATGGCTTTCAGCACATTATGAGAACCATCATTGTGCTTCGAAAGCCATTGCTCATTCGTGAAATCATTGCGCTACTTTCTGATATACCCAAGGACAAGTTTGACGTCACCAACTTCCTTCGGCAGATGCACAGTGTTTTGATTCCAGGCACCACTACATTGTTTGATGATGCTATGCCACAGATGCACAAATCCTTTCGCGATTATATCACGAGTGAGTGTGCACCACCTGGATTCCAGATCATGCCTGAGGATGCGCACTTCAAGATTGCAAACTTACCCAGAGCCAATTCCGGATAAAAATTGGTGATGGTGGGAAGACTTAGAAATGTTGCTGTGGTGTAGTGGTCTAATGATGTGCTCTGTGTATGATGTTCATGCCCATTTTGCAATGCTAAGGCTGCTAGTTCGATTCCCAGCTACACAACATCATATTTAACATTAGTTATGAATGCACTATTTTTGCAAAGGTGATTCTGCATAAAGTGAAAAGCACTGTAAGTAATATTTTGAACTGGTATGGTTGATGAGATGGGCAAGATTTAGTGTACTTTGTGAAATTTTAATCTATGAAATGCTTGTAAGATGCATAATAGAGCTCCAGGGACCAGAGGAGCCACCAAGTGAAAAATTGGCATTTTAAAGCAAAAAAAGTGAAAATAGCGGTTTTGGGTAACTCAGATTTTGGAAATTTTTGACTTTTTGGATCTGGGTTCCAAGGGTACTTTCAGGGGTCCTGTTACTTGCCACATTCAACATGAATTTGGATGTCTGGACTCTGTGTAAGGTGTCACAGCTTGACAGCAGATGAGCAATTTGTGGACCAAAAAAAAAAATTTCAGGAAATGCAGCATTTTTGCCTAACAGGTTTGGAGATCTGCTGGTAGGAGGATCTTCCCCGTTTGATGGACATCTCGGATCTGAGTTGAAGGGTGATGACATTATTATGATAGGATGAGCGTGCCAAACACAGTCACGAAGGTCATGATCCTGTGACACATATGGTAACGCTGTCACAACTTGCTAATTATCGATGGACTTTCGAAACTTGTTCGAAACAGGATCTTGCGTCCAGCTTGCATCCCGACGAAAACGCACCTCTTCAAATCCAGCGACTGGTGTTGCAAAGGCGAGGCAGATAGATAATTGCCAAGTGCCAATCAAATGTGCTCATGAGCACTGTTTTTGCCAGCGGTGGCTTGACCTCCGAGTTATGTACAATTGCCTTTTTGGAAAACAAGTACGCATCCAGTTCTTGGTATAAAGAGCGCACTTACCATAGCCATAGTATACCCAAAGTGGGCCGGGGCCTGCATAGTGCATCTACAAGAAGCTTCGGCCAGCAAATGTGAGCAAACGCGGTCCACATCTCTAGGGCACTGTCTGGGTGACCGGCGGTAGCTCGGCCTTCACGGAACACTGTCATCACAGGGCGTCTTTGAGAACGCATCTGTATCCCACGCTTCCTCCATGCTCTTTTGTTATCACTCCTGCACTCGTTGAACCTCTGTCTCTTTCTTTTCTGCAACATAGGCTGTTATGGTTGCGGCGAGTCCTTTTTTCCGAGGGACATGGACGTTGAAGAGGTTTAACGCTACCATCATCAACGATGTATGGCCAGAGGTCGCTTTCTTCTCTTTGGTTGCATCCAGTAAGCCTACCCCCTCATTCGCCTTTCTATCGTGCTGACAGTTGTTGTGTAGTGGTCTGCTTAGTTTCAAAAAAAACTGAGCATCATCTTGGGATCAACAATCAGCTTTTGACTGTATTGGGTACGGTTCTTGGTTTGGTTATTTCATTCAGAACATCTTCAGCATACGAGAGGTATCGTTGACCATTGTCGTGTTTCCAACGCCGCTAATTCCCATTCTAGATATCAAGATGGCAGGAAAATGTGGACCAACATCGCGACCGCATCTCGAACCCTGGCGCAACTCGTACTTTACTTCTAGGTACATATCGACGTATTCTTATCGCCATTTTACGCAGGTTTGGCTTCACGTCCCAAACGATCGGGAAAACAAAGGTTTGCAGCAGAAGCAAACAGTCGTTCAAAGTATCATCGAGAAGAAGAGCATGATTAATCTAGTGAGTCGTCACGGTCCAAACCTCGACAAGCTGATTTATAAAGGGGATCGCCAGATTCAAGCATTCTCTGTTTCAGTAAAGGTACGAGTCTCAAGAGTCAAGGAAACGCCTTCATGCTGACCACTTCTTCCAGCACTTCCTTCGAGGGGAGCAAGGCATCTATTACGAGGATCTTTATCCCTTGATATTCTTCCTTCCACGATACTCTCATATGGCTGCCGAGGGACATCCATACACGCCTGAGAAACTTCCCCTGTGGCAGCTAGACGGAGAACAACCCTCCCATGGCGAGGAGAAGCAAAAAGAAAACCACAGCAAACAGTTTAGCTCGACTGATAAGAACACCGACACGGCATCTGACCAAGGCTGGTTCTCGCGCAATCGCGGCGGGAAACACCGTAAATTCGATCCTGAGAGTGTGTTGCCCTACGTTCACTGTGACCGAACGCTCAAGCCTGCACACATGCCGCCACCGATGACTGTGTACGATTATATTCCTTTATTGAGGTTCTTCAAATGGGTTGTACACACTATTCTTCGCAAAGCGCACCCCGGCATGCAAAGGCGGAGGAAGAAGAATCCATTCTCGGAGATTGTTGAGAGCAGTGTTCCTCTCGAGATTTCCTTAATTCTTCAAGGGTAGGTCTGCTTATCGAGAGGTTCCGCGCTAATCTGTCTTTTACCCAGTTACTTCGCATGTGAGAAACTGCTGAACACTCAGACCCAGCTTAAACGCTAAATGATGCATGATAGTCCTTCTTAGGAGTGGTTTGCTGCAGCCAGCATCTGCAACTGGTTTCATGACAAACCTCAACACTCTTCAAGACGCTCTATCCAACTTGGAACGGATCTGCAATACCCCGTTGCCGTTTGCATACCAAATACATCTGAGGATGTCGTTGTGGTACGTGGCGACTACGTTTCACTCACCAAACTATCTCACTCGCTTTCAAATAGGCTTTATCTGTTCCTCTTGCCAGTGAGTGGATATCCTACTAAAGACCAACGGGTTGCTCACTCAACTACAGTTTCAAGTTTACAATGCCTTCGGGTACCTCACCATTCCAGGCACGGCGTTCGCTTCATTCTTGTACCTAGGATTCCTCGAGATCGGACAAGAAATGTAGGAGCCTCTTGTCTAACCTTCAACTATCCGCTGAACGACAACTCCAGTGAAAACCCTTTCAACTACGACCTAAATGATCTCGGTTAGCTGTCTCCCTACATTTTGCTCCCCTTGCGAGGTTTGCTTACCATTCTTCTAGACCTTGACAACTTCTGCCTCTCAATCCAGCGCGAGCTGCACGAGATCACCGCTGTAAGACTTTCTTCGATCACCGGAATGAGAACTAAACCCCCGTTGGCCATGCAGCACCCGAACCCCGAACCTAAGGACTTCGTTTTCAATGCAACGTATGTCCATCATCCCTCACCCCTTCTCTTCTTGGCCCGCACCTGACTCCTCTGCGCGTAGAAATCAACCATTCGCACCCGCAGATCGCAGGAGCGCAGCAGACTTGGTGTCCGGCAACACAGAATATGACGTGTCCAACGCGGTGGGTCCTGTGGGCATTCACGGCCTTCGTAAGACCTTGGTCAAAAGCTGGATGGACGTCGATACCAAAACTCGTCCGTGAACGGGTTCCAAGTCATATTACGTCATTTTTATCATTTTTATCGTTTTTTTTTTTCAGCCTGTTTACTTCGTTTTCGTCGGTTGCTCTATGTATGGTATTCGTTTTACTCAGATGTAAAAGACAGTTGTTCGATAATCATAATGAGGGTAGTCGCTGAGGGTATCACATTCTTGATGTGTTATGGTGTGAAGCGTTTGTTTTCCGATCTAAGATGTCCGAATCCCCATTCAGAACCTGCTTCCCAGTAACTTGCTATGGCCGGGATTTGGAGTGGCCTTCAGTGGCCAAAACAATGGGTCCACATCCGATTTCATGATACGCAAGGCCGAACATTCAAGGTGTCACGAGAAACATAGCACAATCAAAGCACAATATTACAAAGCGGGATAGCCAGAGCAAGTCCGACACCTTTTCTGGGCTGGAACATTGTGAGGACAGGGTAATATTTATGCAGGGTAATATTCTTTCTTGTAATTAAAATTTTCCCTTTCCACAACAAAGAAAGTCAGCTGAAATTTTTGAATATTCCCGCTCGTAAAATCCAAGGAATAGTTGAACAGATCCCGCACACCTTGCCTTTTGTGCGGCATCGTCCGAACAAAGAGTCCTTTCTCATTCTTTCCCGTCCGATTTATCAGCATGTATTAATTTCGAAAACAAAGGATCCCTTTGCTTCGGCTTTCCTCTTAGTTTTTCTCGAAGGTCTAACTTTGACTACCATATCACAAACTTGAAAATGCTTTGTATATTTTAGCTTTTGTTCACCCTTTACCAGCTGAGAAAAGGCAAAACAAAATTCTTGCTATGCCTTTCCCAAAATGAAAAATTTTAAATATACTCAGAATACTCTTGAAAAGAAAAATTGTCGGACTTTATCAAGATATTCTGATTGGTAATATTGGGCAATGTTTCTCGTGTGTGGCCATTACAATGTGGCCAGAAAGACCGGCTTTGTCAGGGAGCAGTCAACGCGCCTTTGCTTGCAATCGTGAAACAATGCCCCAGAGCCTCGGAGCTACCCGATGGGGACACAAAGAGAATTTGGAAACTTCCTGGGGTGGTCTAGGTGCGTTGACTGTCCCGAAATGGGCAGCAGTTATGACTCGGAGTGGCTCACGCCAACAAAGAGTATTGCGCATGCGACGACAAAGCGAGTACGTTCTGTCCACAAAGACTCGGAGAGGCTGTATCTGGACACTCGGCCAGCTATATGAAGGTCACCAAAGGGCATGGAGCATCATCAAGACCCTCGCCCACACCGATCAGCAAGAGAATCATCCAGAAGCCACTGGCACGATGCAACAAGCCGTCATGGAACACGATGCAGACGCGGAGAGCGTCACCCGAACTCCATCAAAGCGGACGTCCCTCCACCGGATATACGAAGACCCCGTTCCCGAGCTTTCTTACAGCGACGACCCCTACGATTCATTGTCATCAGCCAACTCTTCATTCGAATCCCTTGACCGACCCATTACCCCACCCCCATACCACGCACTCGTCCGATACGTTCCATCGTCGAAAAAATGTGACCAACCTACACCTGTCACCCCCGTCCGCAACCATGGCCCGACCAAAGTGAAAAAGAAGAAAGCCACGCCCTACACCCCAAGTCGGGGCCGGGTTCCAACCAAACAACCTGTAACGCCCGGCAAAAATCAAACACGCACTTCCTTCCAGGCGTGGGTGGAGGGCTCCGAGGCAGGCGAATTCATACCAATGACCCACAGATTTATGAAGAGGGCTGAGTGCTTGACAGAGGAACAACTCTTCGAGCGTGAATACCGGCTGCTCATGCAGGCCAAGGAGCGCCGTGATAACAGTCTTATGAAGCCGCTGGACAGCGAAGGTTGGATGGAGTTGCCACAAACACCACCCAAAGCCAAAAACCAGAAAGTCGTCGTGTCAGGCTCCGGAAGCGAGTCAGACGCGATGGACATTTCCCCCCGTAAGCCCTTGTCAAGGCAGGACACAGAGATCATAGACCACGATACTTTCCGAGGTGGTGCACCCCCATTGCCCGTAATCCCCCCTGAGTGGATCAAAAATCCAAGCAACGCGTTGAGATCACACCCCACGGAGATTTTCGAGATTTTCCCTGAAAACAGCTGTGAGCGCTCAAGAACATGAATCACTCAAAAGAAACCCCATGCCACATATGCCTATATGATTATGCCCTATGCAACCTTCTGCCGCCAATATGCCACCCCCCTCGTCATTTCCTCTTACTTCATTTGCTGGTTTCGTTGAATGTTGTATCTTTAGACCACGTTTTCATCTTCGTCTTCTTTCTTTCTATAGGTTCTCTGGTAGAATATTGTTGTATTTCATAGATTTGCTTTCCGCTCTTGTGAATACATCTTCAGATTGTGATGCTGGCGTGTGCTTGAGGTTGATGTGACAAGTCACGCCGTTGCGCTCTCCGAGGCGAAAGTCGTTGTTGACGCTGAGAATCCTGAGATTACAAGTTAGACACATGTGCTAGAGAATGACATGTATAAGACTTACAGCCAGCGTCTGAGTGAATATTTGAAGAGATCGTTGGGGTAGTCTGATTGGCTTGAGAGTTCACGATGTGGTAGCTGGCAACCAACAAGTCTGAGTTGAGTCTGAGCGACGGTAGACGAGGAAAGTAAAGGTCAAAATGAAGACAGGCCTCACAGCTCCCAAGTGAACGCTGCATGGAAATGTGGCCTTATGTGGGGATCAAACTTGAGAGGAAGTCAGCTAAGTGACATAGGGCCAAGACTGGGCTTTTTGAACAAGAACGTACCCTTGCAACTCTGACCCGTCTTCCTGTGGTCCCTAGCAAAGGAAGATTGGCAGTATGTTCAAAACAAAACAATTTGAGAAGGCAAGCGTATGTGCGTGCGCTAGCCGCTGAAGCTCCTCAACCATCGGGAGATGCGAAAGCCGTAGCGTTCTGTGCGATGGCAAGTGGCAGAAAGTGATCTATTCAAGTGGATGCAATAGACGCCTTGAAGACAAAAACTCGAAATAATTCGCCACATTCCGTGGTACTTCAGCTACGCTATGGCGCGTTCCAGCAGACGCGCGTCCAAGGCGCGTCTGCTGGTCGCAAGATGAATGGCCTTGAATATTCAATGCCACCATGCCAGTGGGTGGTTGAAAGGAGAGCTGTCACAATTGGTCACGGGCAACTCTGACGCGAAACCGTTCTACCTTGGTTCTACCACAACTCGAATATTGCAGCTCATGTATGTGTCGATGTCTACGCAAACGCGACATAGCGTGCCAGAGGTTCCACTTGAAGTGTGGCAAATTATCGCCAGTTTTTTGTCTTCCGAAGACGTCAAAAAGCTATATGGGATCAATCTAACCAGAAACCCCCTTTTCGCGTGGAACCCTGGGTTTCTTCTGCATTTGGTAGAAATCCCCCTTCCATCAGTCGATGGGTTATTTTGAGGAACCCCATGTCGGAGTTAAATTCCTAGATGCCGACGCGTGTCGCGCTCAAATTTAAATTGATCTTGGCTCCCGGGTCATGATGAGAAGAGAGCGCGACGAGTTGAACTCCATCATGCACATCCCTTGTCGCACACGTATCGTCGCGCGATGCGACGCGCCCACTCGACAAGTGGTTACCACGGTAAATAATATTGGTTCATGGTCTACACGATGCTACAAGATGCAAACAAGATGAGGGTTTGGACGGGTAGCTATACTTACATAGATGTAGGAGACCGGGAGTGGTTTAGGGATGCCACTGCTCCCTTCCATAGTCCCTTGCTACTTGAAAGGTTGATGACCCCCGCCGCCAACTTGAACTTATGCATGTGCATGTGGTGGACTTCAAATATTCTGAGCTCCGCTTCTTGTGGAAACAAGGTTTCTACGCAAGCACTTTGGAAACCCTGGGTTGTTCAGGGGAAACCAGGGTTTCTGGATAGTTTAATCCAGCTATATGGCATAAACAGGCCACTTTCTGCTCTGGCGATGGAAGAACGCTACCGCTCGGTCTCCATTGGGGATCTCCACGATCGAGAAACAATCTTGGCGGTACGGCGGCTCAAGTACGTACCCTATCCTAAACACTATATCTTGTACAAACCACCATCTCCCACTTTTAGTGACCAGACTCGGGCAAGATATGTCCGCGTCCTCAATTTACACCCTGCTACTTTGGCGGCTCTTCTATCACTCAACAAACGGAAATACTGGGTGAAAAAAACCTTGAAAACGCTTGGGATGTTGCCTAGGCGCCAGACAGCATTCATCATAAAGCCCAAAAGCGTTCTGACTATCATCAGTAACCTATCCCTTGTAACCTCGTTGACACTTGACTGTGAAATCTCTACTGTCCATCCTACACTGAAATCTTACAAAAAGTCATTGCCTTTTATCGCTGCCGGATGGGCTTCGTTTGGCCAAAATTTGCGGTTCCTCCACCTCAAAGTTCCTCTGTATGCTATCCAAGAGACCATCGGCTCTGCGAAACTACCCAACTTGCAAGGCCTCTCACTCGACTTCGCGCTATGGGATTGTGCTATGCCTGGCTCTCAACAAGTTATTGTCAATTTCATTCATAATCATGCCGATTCCTTGCGATTCCTTGACATCTCTATGTATCGCGATCTGTTCCAAATGCTACAAGATGTTCGGATCCCCCTGCTTGACAGCTTTAAATTCTATCAATATGAACAAATCGACACAGTTGCGTTCCAGCTCTTCCTCTCGGCACACTCCAGGACTTTGAAAACACTCGACCTGCGATTACACACATATAATTCTGACATCCCCCACGAAAATTGGTTCATAATCCGTATAACTTTGCCAAAACTACAAAGTCTGGCCGTAAAGTTTTGGTCGCGCTCTGATTACCATCTCCAGGGCGCGATGGATCATGTCGTCCAATATAGCCACACGCTGGTTTCCTTGGACGTAACAATGGCTCCTTATTCCTACAACCAAATTCACGGACTGGCCACCCAATTTTCGGCACAGGGTCTTCTTCGGAAATTGGGTTTGACAACAAAGACCTTGATCCCCAAGCTCCTGATTCTACTATCGAGTAAACTTCCTTTCCTAGAAAATCTCACCCTCGAATTCTATGGACTAGCTGCTCAGGAGGGTCCAGTAACAGTGGTGGTAGGTCATTACGCCGAGGAAATGAAGGTAGTCTTTGTTCTCATTCCGCGATGCATTAACGAATCTGTTTCCGTTACTAGTTCTGCAGGGAAATGGGCAGAGTTTCCTTTCACGAGTGGAAAGTACGCAATTTGGCTCTCAGCTCCATAAAGAATCTGGAATGCAAACGAGCGTTGGTTGCCGCTCTTCCCCACGTCCGAACATTCAACGAACAGGATAGAAAGGTCTACATCTCGGAAGTTGATAAGGATTGGTCCTCACCCTGGTCGTTGTAGCTTTCTGCTCGTTCATGAAAGGTATGTTTACTCAATGTGAAACTGCTGTGCTGAGTTTTTATAAGCCAGTCAAGAGAGAGAGAGAGAGAGCCGCTGCTAAACACTATACGGCTGTGGACAGAATCATCCAGGCTCTTAAGTTTGAGGAAGGGGTAGCCCCTTCTTCAATAGATCTACGAGGCGTTCCCGAACTTTCCCACTATGGCGACCTCGTCTTCGTCAAAAAGTTCGTCTTTCAAAAGAATTTCCGCTCCTACATGAGAAGCGAAGTCTCGAAAAGGGGGGGCTAAAGGCTTTTGGGGGGCAGCAATTGTAGTATATTGAGGTTGCTGCATCTAACGCGTACGCGTAATGTCTCGATACACAGTTCTGTTCTGTTGCGTATTCTTCCCGTAGCCGTGTTTCCGACTATCAGCGTCATTCCAGTAGCTAATCTACCTCTTCGTCGCTCTCCGGTCCCTCCGGATCCTCCCCAGCGATATTCTATCCCGACCTTCGGCCATATGGATAATTTCATCCAATATTGCAAATCGGTCTGCTTGGCCCTCTTTCTTCTTTGCAGCTTTTGCCCTCTTCTCTATGTCCTTCGCGGAAGGCGGCGACTGAGCATCCCACGTCCTAGACTGCATCTCCTTGTCTTGTACCCGTTTCTTCTCCGCTTGAACGACCTTTGAGAGATTCCGCGTAAGTTGATGTGCGAGTCCTCGCGATGTGCTAGAGTTGTAGAGGAGAGCGAGCGTGTTGTCCACTACATGTATCCTATAAGCTGGCATGTAAAGCCTTGGACTTCTTGAAAGACTCACTCCGCACATTCCATTCCTTCAAAAACGTTTCTAGTCCCTGTCTCGCAACGTCATCTCCTTCCAATTGTTGGAGCTGTTTGGTAGCATTAGCCCCACCCTCGAAAACTGGCCGCCATAAGGCACGAAGATTCCGGGTCGCTGCTCGATGGTGAAGGACGGAGGCAGATGCTGTTCGCAGGAAAAGTCGGTAGAGGCTGGTAAAGGAATGTGGGAGTACCATCATGATTACAGCCGTTTTCATAACGATAGGCCAAAAGTTCAAAATCATAGATACAGTCGGACCTCGAATTCTAATCATGTCCACGAAAATCAGCATATATTTCAGGGATGACGAACATGATAGATCTACAGTTATACTGAAAAGGGTCATCATGCGACAACTTACACGTCCAATTTTAAATTCCGCCTGTACGTGTATCTGGTCGAGATTAGGCCTATCGTTATGAAAACGGCTGTAAAAACGCCTAACCTGCAACAGCCTTCAACGGCTATCTGCATTATGATTATCAATGTAACAAAGAACTATCTTTTCTATCCGAGTACGCGTTCGAGTTGTAGAGATATGAACTTTTTGTCTCAGGAATGAACACCATGGAAAGCAATCAACGAAAACGGAGTAAACTGGCCGAAAACAAAGAAGGATAAATCAAGACAGTATCGACGATCAAAATGACCATGAGTGATATGGCTTAAAACCCGTTCACTGACGAGTTTTGGTATCGACATCCATCCAGCTCTTGACCAAGGTCTTGCGAAGGCTGTGAATGCCCACAGGACCCACCTCGTGGGACACGTCGTATTCTGTGTTGCCAGACACCAATTCCGCTGCGCTCCTGCGATCTGCAGGTGCGAATGGTTGATTTCTACGCGCAGGGGTCAGGTGCGGGCCAAGAAGAGAAGGGGCGAGGGATGATGGACATACGTTGCATTGAAGACGAAGTCCCTAGGTTCGGGGTTCGGGTGCTAAATGGTCCAAAGTGAGTTTAGTGCTCATTCCGGTGATCGAAGAAAGTCTTACAGCAGTGATCTCGTGCAGCTCGCGCTGGATTGAGAGGCAGAAGTTGTCAAGGTCTAGAAGAATGGTAAGCAAACCTCGCAAGGGGAGCAGAATGTAGGGAGACAACTAACCGAGATCATTGAGGTCGTAGTTGAAAGGGTTTTCACTGGCGGTAGAGAGTTGTCGTTTAGCGGATGGTTGAAGGTTAGACAAAAAGCTCCTACATTTCTTGTCCGATCTCCAGGAATCCTAGATACAAGAATGAAGCGAACGCCGTGCCTGGAATGGTGAGGTACCCGAAGGCATTGTAAACTTGGAACTGTAGTTGACTGAGCAACCCGTTGGTCTTTGGTGGGAT